TTGCCCTTGGGCACCAGTCTGAAGGGGGCTCCGGCAGGGCCGGATTTTCCACAAGCCGCTCTCACGGCTGCATACAAGAGATCTTGTATGCAGCCTGCTCGTCCATCTGCTCGTTCGCTGGCCACACTGAACTGCGGGAAAGCAGTGCCTGCACTGGGGTAAGTCAAGTTAGGCAGCCACCTCAGAATACGCTGGGGCCCCGCGCAGCTGCCTAGCTTTTGTGATTACAGATCCGAAGGTTCGGCAGCGACGCCTAGAGGAACGCAGGAAGAGAGGTGAGCTATGTTTCTAAAAATCACTGGCCTGATAAGTCAATTAGGGGGAGGCGAGAGAGGTGGGGGGTCATTGTACACAGAGGTGGTGAGAGAGGTGGGCACAGTGGCAGGGGAAGAGCTGGAAGGGAGTTCAGTGGACACCAAGGTGGTGAGAGAGGTGGGCACGGTGGCAGGGGAAAAGCTGGATGGGGATTCAGTGTACACAGTGGTGGTTGTTAAAGTTAGTACTTTTTATTGTACCTTATGTAGTTACTGTTAGTAAGGCCATTTTATTAAAAGCATGGCTGAAAGTATCTCACAAAGCAGAAATCCACCCCTTGAGGTCACTTATTTTCCTTAGTAGGTGGGATGAAGATGGACCAAGAGAAAATTAACCACCATTTTGCTTAGTTGGGGAGATTGTGACAAAATTAGCTAATCTCCAAACTGGAAAGGAGAGAAGTGACTGTGCAGAACTAACACCACTGTATACTGTATAGTGATTTACTGATCAATAAACTTTTTCTCGGTAGGGATTAGTACTGGTCACATTATGGATTCAAATTTGACTCATTCAACCAGCCGAATGGAGAGGAATCAGTACACCCAGCTCAGAATAGTTCTAGTTAATGCTTTATTAACTTATTTTAAATCTAGTAACAAGCCCACAACTACATTTCTGCAGGTGGAGGTTTGTGCCTTCAGGGAAGTGGTTTGAGGTACCTTTTTTCAAAACTGGTTAGCTCTTCAATACCACTTTTTAAAACTGATCTCAGATAGCCTGTTGTCTTCAGTCAGTCTGATCAGAATGATAGGTTTTCAGAGGAAAGAGCAAGAACACATAATCAGTGCACAGCATATATAAGAAAGCAGAACCTGCATTTATAATTGCCAAACATGGCTGTTTCCTTGAATATATATCATTAATATCTATTTGAATAAACTTGTTTTTTTTAAAGAATATATACAGTATACTATATATACTACAGTATAATATATAGTCTTTAAAAAAAACCTTCTTTCCAAGTATAGTGTGGCCGTTACATATGCAGGTTCTTTTTTAGTGCTACACAATGATTTGTAATGTGTGAATCTGGAATGATACATGGGATATTCTGCGAACTTGTAAAAAACTTGCAAGTTGTGGATTTTAATGCAAACCCTATAAAATCAATTGAAGGTGAATCTTGAAAATGAAATCTCTCCATTTTCACGACTAATAGGCAAGGCATTGTCAAACAAAGGGCACTGGGAGCTGGGCACTGCCAGGAGGACATGTTTCATTGCAAAAAATATTTGTAATAAATATCAGTAAGCAAGGAGCAGCTCTTTGTAAAACATTACAACAGCAACATTAAAAATACACAATTCCTTTAAATAACATGCTTGAGGGTTGTCTGAAACCTGCATGTGAAGTGCCACATCTGTAAAAAAGTACTAAAGCAAAAGTGACATTTGCAAAGAAAAAAACCTCATATAAACTGGATATTTCCAGCCACTTTGTTCTGTTTGTAAACCAAGAGGTCAGGAATTCCCTTTACAATCTATATGAGATCCTTATCCCAGTTGAGGGTCTGGTATGGTTTGAAAGGGGATACATTATTAAATAAAACAAAACAAAAAACTGTGTGGAGTTCCCCATAATATGAACTATGCTAAGTTCTTATCCTTTGATAAGTGTCTGGTATGGATTTTAAGGGGACAACCATTGGAAAAAAAAAAGCATGCCCCCCCAAAAAAAAATCATATTGGCACCTTCATGAGCATGTAGCCTAGCTGGCCAGGAAAGGGGAGCAGCAAGGATGCAACCCTTTGCCTCCTGAATAATACCAAGCCACACTGGGAGGGTGCCTTGCCAGGGCCCCTCTGTCTAAGCACCTTGTCGCTATGTTGATAAGGACAATGCCCTCTTCCCCACATCTCTGGCCCAGTGGGTGGTCTGTGGGAGGGACATATCAAATATCTGGTTCCTACCTACATGATAAAGTAAGCAGCAAATAGTATCCCTGGCCACTAATTCAGAAACAAAATATTAGAAAATAGACATGAACACCGAACATGAAGTCCTTTTTGTCCAAAAAAGTAATGTCCCACAATGTCCAACAATAAATGTCCCATGATGTTCACATCCTAATACTGTCCCACAATATCCAAGTACTAATGTCCCACAATCTAACAAAAATAATGTCTCAAAATGTCCTATAATGTTCAAAAAACAATGCCCCACAATGCCCTGCAAAGTAAATATCCCATGATGATCCTTTTGTGCCGATACTAAATTGCAAATGACAAAATCTCCAGAGAGTTGCTGAATGTCAACAAACCAGCTTGGAATCCCACGTGAGGTCAGTGACCAAATAGGGTTAACCACTGACCTCACCCGAGGATGCCCACCAGCTTGTTTACAAGCTGGCATTAAGTGCGATAGTAGTTGCTAGGATGCTGACAGCTACTTGCGTCCCAGCAACCAATTATGCTTGTTGCCTGCATAGCAGGAAGTGGTCATTTAGTGGCTGCAGTAATACAGCATACTTTCTGCAGCAGTCAGAAGTTCACTGCAGTGGGCGACTAACAAGTCACTTAGTATACTGAACTGCAAGCAGCATCCAGAGTTTGCAGCCAGCCCTGCATCACTGCAACCTCAAACTGCATCCCTAACAATAATTGTGCTTCACTGCTTCTTTTTACAATGCATGTCTTAGGGTCTGCTAACCCACTAAAACAATGCACTAATTAGATAGATGATATCGTTAATCAAACTAAACAATTGTAAAGCAGAGTAATTGAGTCATTTTAGTGAAATACAGAGCTTGCTCCAGTGGATAATCTGCAAATCCCTATATTTAGTAAAATAAAAGATTATGGAAGAGCAAACATGTAGGGCAGATCAAATAATACTTTATCAAAAACACCTCAATAGGTTTTGTGCTCTTTAGAAATGCAGTATATGTTCTCTTTAATACAAATAATCACATTTTAATATTAAGTCAATTGCATTCACATACCTGTAGAAAAAGTAAAAACAACTATAGGCTCTTTTAAAGGAACATGTGCATTGTTTCTAGGTATTGTGTTACCGTGTTAAAGTTTTTCTGAAAAGCTACTAAGTTATGTGATAAAAACATTGGTATAGTGAACATAGAAAACATCTGAGCATTTATGGAGCATGTAACACTAGACTCTTACAAAGCTGATGTTGTTCTTTGCCATTGATCCCCAACTTAGCATTGCTGAGCTCAATACGACTCTGCCGCCGGCTCTGAAGGCTGTTGTAAAGCCCGACTGTGCGACGCTTGGCCTTTCGAAGGATGTGGCAGACATATTGAAAAATTTCTTCATAACAGTCTCCAGGCTCAGCATAACTAGCTACTGTACTAGAAGATAAATACAAAGCCCTCTGCTCCTGCATCAGCTGGTGTTCCCTTTGCTTGGTCTCGGAGAACTGAGTGGCAATAACAACCAGGCACAAATTGATCATGAAGAACGATCCGACCTGCAGCAAGAAGAACAATTAGATTACAATGCTCTGAAGCCTCAAAATACCACAGGCATATTCTAACCTCAGCATGAATTTTAAAACGCGTCAAAAAGAAGAAAAAACATAGATTAATTGCTTTTTTCAGAAAGAATTATAATAATTACTACTCATTAATTAAAGCAGGTGCTTTTTAATTGTGAAACTGAGCTGAAGCTCTTTGACTTATTCTGTAAGCACTGATAATTATAAATCCACTGTAATTAATCTTCAGCATTTCTAACTGTTCCCTGCAAGGAGATAGAGTTACACATTTCCCAAAAAGCAGACAAATCTAGACACATATGCATGCAATAGTCAGTATTCCTTGTTCATTTTCCCTCAAACATTTAAGGAGTTGCAACCGGAACAGGAGCAAAATCACATGAAGATTTAGGCTTAAAATCCTTGTTTCTGGCATTTCTGATATGTATCAAATGTGTGCACTGTATGAGGTAAAATAAACAAACAGGAGCTAGCACCTGTCCTTTGATGAATGACCTCATAGATGAATGTTCAGCAGATGAGCAGGAATTGGGAACATATGTCTTTAGCTGGTTGTTGCTGACTTGTTGTTATCCATTTTTATAATGGAATTCTAAATTCAATGTATGTGACAAAAATTTGAGCAAGGGAAATAAAATTGAGCAATAAAGTTGTATAGCTCATAGCAAAATTCGAAAGTTTTTCTTATAGAGGAAACTAGAGGTGCACCAAAATGACATTTTGAGACCAAAACCGAAAAAAAAAAATGTCAGGCCAAAACCGAAACTGAAAATAATTTAATTCTTCTAACCTTTTAAAAAAAATGTTGAAATATTTTCTTTCTTTTTCTAAACTTTGTAATTTTTATTTATTTTTATTAAATATTTTTACTTTTTAACTTTACTGCTGAGGGCTTCGGTGAAATATCAGGGGTCTAAACAGACTTCTGAAATTTCCCTTTTACAATGCAAAAAGAGATTGAGAACACAGAGTCCTTAATCTCTTTTTCTGCAGTCCCAGCACTGAATGAACAAGAATCCTCTATATGGTTCTGAGTATTCCTGTTTATTCATAAATTGTGGATATAGTATGAGTTACTATGTACACAATCGGAAATGAAAAGGAAGTGATGTAGATCACTTCCTATTCATTCATAACTGGTACGTAGCAACTCATACTATGCCCAGTTATTTATAAACATTCAGTGATCAATGATCGCTGAGTGTTTGTATACTGCTCTCCACCCTGGATCGACTCTCACAGGAGGCTGAGCAGGCAATGCGGAGAGAAGAGCTCTGTCTCATTTGACAGCTGACTCCTCCCCCTCACCACCGGCTCGGCCTACCCAAACATCAACAGATAGGTGGGGCTAGCTGTGCTGAGGTGGCGTCGTCATGGGCAGTGCTTGACATCGTGATTGACCCTTGGATTACGTCAGTGGATCAATTTTTGGCATGGTAATATTTTTATTAAAGGAATCGTCAAAACTTTTTTTTCAATTAAAGGATTTGTTCTAAAAGTGTGGTCTCTTTATTTAAAATTTTCTTTAACCCTTTAGTGAAGTACCCATTACTCATTCACAAGGGGGGGCAGCTTCCAGATGTTGGATCGGCTGAGTCAAACAGATTCTTCACTTCGGCTCAGCCGAACATGCTGAACATGTTTGGCTGAACCAAAAGGAGCCAAAGCCAGCAGATATACAGCTGAAATCAGCCAGACTCGTCTGAAGTGAGTAGCCAAACAGGGTTCGGCTCCCTTCACTTCAGCTCGCTTAATTACTCGGCTGTCTTTGGCAGCTTAGTGCATAATCCCCACAGTATTTTAACGAAATATGTGGTTTGTATTGAAAATAACTTGGAATTAATTGAACATGTTGAACATAAAACTAACATGAGATTTTTGTGATTGGGTTTACATATATTTTAAATGTACCAGGTTTATACTTTTATTATAGTGTAAGGTAGAAATAAACCACACATAAACAAATCCTGCTGAGAGTCTTGCTGAGAGTCAGCTATGTGACATTTCGAGTCTTATTAGCGTGGGTCTGCTTGACAGCTCGGAAGAACAAAACTGGTAGGTGACTAAATAGAAGGTAAGTAAAACTGTTAAACAGTTACAATATAGTGATGCCTTCATCTAATACACAGCATGAGCAAAACACAGTTGGTCAAACAAAAAACCTCCTAATTATACCAACTGCTATGAAAAAAATATCCTGTAAAGCATTCTTTTGTGTGAATCTGTAAACTGAATGTATAGGGGGTTACTCACAAAGCTTCCGAAGGCAGCCGAGTGAATAGCAAAGCCGAAGTGAAGTGAGCCGAATGCTGTTCAGCTATTCACTTCGGCTTGTATGGCTGATTTCAGTACATCAGCTGCTTTCGGCTGCACTTTGGTCAGCTGAACATGCTCTGCATGTTCGGCTGAGCCGAAGTGCAGAAGGACTTCTACTCAGCCGATCCAATATCTCGATCAGCTGAGCCGAAGCTCCGGCACCTCACTCATTGCTGTTCGCCCCTATTCTCGTAGGGGCTGAACGGCAGTCAGTGAATAGCTGAATGCCGCCGATTGGCATTTGGCTCGGCTATTCTGCTCAGTACCTCCGTGGTACAGAGCAGAATAGTAAATCAATGAAAATAGTTAAAAAACAAAACACGTTGAAAACATTATTTTATAATGTAAATAAATTGAAAAATTGAAAAATAAAAAATTTTGTAAAAAGAAAAAATTATAATAAAAACAACAATTGGGCGGCACTAGTAGTGACAGCTAGCTCCGCCAAACTGTTTGCTATTGGCCAGCACCTGCTAGAATCTTCGAGCAGGTCCCAGGCCAATGAATAACAACTGGGCGCAGCCGGCTGTGATGTCACGGCCTTCGGCAGGCCGTTCGCCCCGCTTCGGCTGTCACTTCGGCTCAATGAAGCAGAATCATATGCCTCTGGCTCGGCAGAGCCACTCGGCCGCCTACAGTGGCTGTACGGGCTATAGTGAATAGTTGAACCGTGTATCAGTCAAACCGAAGGGCTTCGGCGGCCGAAGAGAGCTGGAGGATCAGCTGAAGCTACGGCTGGATCCTTCGGCTCCTCTGTGAATAGCCCCCATAGTTTTTTTGGTGAATTTGGAGATACTTCCCTTTCACTTTTGAATATTATATTATAGCAATTCACTGCTATTTACAGGTTGTTATTTCTCATCACCTCCCAAAGGAGCCTACAGTATATTAGTTACATTTGGTGTGCTTTATGTATTAAGGCAACGTTAAGGCAAATGTTGAAGTACTGCAACCTATTTTTTAGCATGTTTCATTGAATGTAATTCCTATCACTGTCAAAATATTTATCTTATATTACCTCTGAAGATGTACCAAACAGCAAGGCATTGAACTGAAATATGTTGTTTGACCTTATACTAGACATATACTAGACTAGACATCGTTTCATTCCAAATCAAAATTCGGACTAATTTTCTGAAATTTGGACATTCAGACACATCCAAATGTCCGAATCCTAAAGCATCCAAATGTGTATGAATCTGAATTTCTGTTTCCGAATTTCGGATACCGTCCGAATTTTGTTCAAAAACCAAACTAAATCGGACATGTGACTATTCTGGCCAATCAGATGTGTTTTTTTGTTTAATGCATCCAAATGGGTTTGTACACAAATTTTTGTTATGGCAACATGAGAGCCATATACTGTACAGTATATACATATAATACTAAAGCTAAGGCTCCTAGACCCGAATTGCATTCGAGATACAAATTTTTGAATTGCATTCAGGAGCTCTCGATTGCCATTCGGTTCTGGGAGCCTCAGCATTAGTAATACATGTATATGGCTCCCAGACCCGAATGGCATTCGGGAGCTCCTGAATGCAATTCGGAAATTCGGATCCAGAATGCCATTCAGGTCTAGGAGATTTAGCTTTAGTATTAATATCTCTATATGGTTTTCTGCGGTATTTGCAACAAATATTCGTAAACTCGTTCGAAACTAACAAAAATTCGGATTTTGTCCGAATCCGAAACCCAAATTTAATTTCGGATCCGAATCCTGAAAATATCCAAATCGAACCAAATTGTTCTGCAGGTTGCATGTCTATCTTATATTAAGTATCATTTGGAATTGTGACTTACTTACAGCCAGTTACCAAATTCTGATCCAGTTATTCCAAAGACAATATAACAATAAATTAAGGATAATAAGCACTTATTAGATTTACCACAGTTTGTACACAACATTCCCAAAGTTAGCATTGCATGTATTTGGCAGATACTAAACATTGGCATTGGGAGACTGAAAATAACACACCTCACTTCCTATTCCGGAGGCACACTGTAGTAAGCATGCCTCCTGCTTGCTCCTAATGTTTGAAGCAGGAATAAGCTTTACATATGCAAAGATGAAAAGAATGCTGCACGTTTAATACAATTAACTAAAAACTCCCTGAGAACTTCTATTCACGTTAATTCTGTAGTTCAGGTTTCCCTGGTGCTGGTAAAATAAACCTAAATTGAAACCTCAGACACCAAAATCAGATCACTGTCTGCTCATACAAATGATAAAATTAGAATTTAAGTTGACTACAAGATAACATATTTTCAGATAATGAGATTAAAGGAAACCTATACCAAGAAATATGATGTTTCCATTGCTTGATGCTTTTGACGCACACTATTTTAAAAACATTACAACTGACTACAACTAAACATATCAAAAAGGAGCAAGGAGGAATGTCTTGCTGCCTGATCTGATCCATTGTTCCCTTGAGTACGCTCCTGTTCCTGCCGAAGCCTGCTCTGGTGTGCTCTGCAGTTTTCAATAATTCTTCACAGCAGGGTTCCTGTTTCCACCACTGCCACTGGAATGCCCCTGTGCTCATCTGCTTCTGCTAGTGTGAATAAGTCTCCACAAGTTACGGCAGAGCGAATCTAGGGGTCAGCACACAGCCAAGTGCACACCTCCATGAGGGCATTCCTGGTGGAACATCGCCTGTCCCTTAGTGTAATAAACCTCCACTGTTACGGACTTGGTAGTTGGCGCCTACTCTCCCGCAGCGTCATTCTGCTCTTCCCAGCTAGCCAGCTTAACTTGCCAGATTCATTTGCCTGGCGTTTCTGGAATAAGGAAGATGCCGGACAAGATCTCTGCTCTCTCCGTCCTGACCGAACCGCTCTCCCTCCTCAGTGAACCACTCTCCATCCTGGTCCTAAGGCTCTTCATCTTGAAGCCATACTGTGGGCATCTGCTCTCCATCTTTAAAGGTTGCAGTCCCACACCTCTCACCCTCTCGCAACTCAGAAGACTTCTACTTGTCCTCCATTCTTGGTTAACCCTCATCTTCCTAGGATCTGCATATAGCTCAGAGCACAGCACCACAGTGGCATTCTAAAATCCTTCTCCTCCACTCCAGCTTCCACTCTACATCATAAGGTGATACTTAACTCTTTGCCTACCTCAGCGTGACCTCAATTTGATTACATCAGCCACTACAAGTCTGCTTAAATGCAAGTACCAACATTTCCTTTATTTAATAGACTTGACTAAGATTGAACTCTTGAAGTGAAGTAACTTCTGCTAGTAATTGATCTCAATTCTAACTCAGGCTGTAACACAATATTTAAGTTGGAGATGTATGTTATTGCTAGTGACTTTAAACATTACTACCATTAAGTCTTGCTGTGCTGAAGTTAGTTGAAGGTTGATGAGTATAAACCACTAAATGACCTTAGTGGATTGTTCTATAGACATCTGCAACTTTGATTCATACCAAGTACCCTGAGAGCCTTAAATATTACACTTAGTCTCTGTGCCCTGGGGGATCCCACATCACCGGCTTACAAGTGTAACTCCATTCACCCTCATGACATAGGGTAAACTATCATTTTCTGTATAACAAAAAAAAAAAATGCAAAAATGGGGGGGGGCAGCTATATTCTACATAAGCCTCTCCCCTTGCTGACACCCCACCATGGCACCAGGGGTGCTGCAGACTATGGTGTGCATCAGCTTTGAGATGGGGAACCACATTTTTTGGGGTCAACCACTCACAAAGCTGAAGGGCATGCTAAATGCCATTCAGACTGGAGCTGAATGCTCCTTGCTATTGGTATACCAGCTCACATATCTGGCCTGTCAAGTTGGTTATTTTGGGGGAGCATGCTGTTTTTTTTAATTTATTTTTTATTTTAAGCAACTAAAATACTAAAATAAATAATTATTTAATTGCTGAAACTGTATTGTAAATACATTGCATTTTCAATTAAAATGAAATAATTCAGCAGCTTAACCAGGCAAAGTTTATGTAAAAATAGGTTCAGCCAATGACAGGTAAATGTGCAGGGAAGTTAACATTAACCATTTTCTTACACTGGGTGAATGTTACAGTAAAGACCTTTTCCTACTGAAGAACAAATGTTGCTGAATGTTATATAATGTAATTTTTACACCAGTTTCAATCTTGGGCAAATTTTCACTAGTTTGGCTTGACCCACAGGGTGAATGCTCCCACAGAATTGTGGGCGAATAATGGGCAAAATGACCATTGATATACCCTACTGTGTTATAATAAAATATAAAAAGAAGACATCAGAACCACATGTTACTGCGATAAATGAGATACTTACTATTATGAGGAGGATAAAATAAATGAAATTGTAGAAGGAGTGAGCATCCATGACATAATACATTATTTCCACCCAGCCTTCCAACGTAATTACCTGCAAACAAAATCTTGGTTATTATAATATTTATTTCTCTTTATTTGATTAACCTGGTTATATATTAAATCCCCTGTTGAATCTGTATTAATAATAATGAGGTGACTGAAAAAAACTCATCCTCACACTTTGAGCCGATGTGTGACAATGAAACTGTCACACATCGGCTCAATAGACCGGGAAGTGAGCAAACACATACCGTGGATTTATATCCGCCCAACAGTGGCTTCAAGTAGTATTGCACCCTTCTGTTTTTTTACAAAATAATGTATTCAGGTGCATCCAGCAAACATATACTATTTGTTTTTTAATTTGTTTTCTGTCACTTAATATTTAAATCCTGACAATACTCCTTATTCCCCAGGGCTTCTTGTCTGAGCTTCTGGTTGGGAGGGGCGAGCACTCTATACATCATCGAAAAGTCATATGACAGCAGAGGAACTACATGTGACATCACCGTTAGTGCCATTTATACAAGTGCATGCATGACCAGCATTGAATTTTAGCTGCTCTGTCCACCCACAGCTGCCAGTCTATCCCTGGAGGAGGTGCAGGGGATAAGCAGGGGAATAACCTATTCGTGGGGCTTTAAGCTGCTTGTGTGTGGAGCACTAACTTGTTAGGCTACAATGCCAGACAGGGATGTGCTTGTAAGGGTGACTCAAGGAGAGCAGCAAGGAATAGTTTCATGAAAATTACAGAGCAATAACAATAGAAAAACAGCAGGTAAACATCAAACAGAGTAAGTGCAGATGTGTGTACTTTTTTAAATGGAGGGTTTTACTTTTCCCCTTGCAGCTACTGCTTATTCACTACCACAGGGTAATAATATATACTGTATATATATATATTGTAGGGGTGCGGAAATTAACGATTAATCCGTCGATTAATCGTTAATTTCTTTGATCGATCAAAATTATTTTGATCGATCAAAGTACTCACCTCTCCGCCGGCTTCCGTCGGAGATCCGGTGACGACCATTTAGTCAATTGTGTTGTCTCCTCTCCTATCCAAATCTGTTTGTCATAGGGAGTGCTGTCCAAAACTACTATAACTCACCAGGTTTATATTTTACAATCCATGACATTTTGAAATGATATAATGAAAATATTCTGTACCTGGAAAATTACTATCCAAGCATAGCCAATGTTGTCAAAATTGATGGCTCCCTTATGTGGGTTAGTGTTGCTGGTACGACAGACATTATAGTACTGATTCCAGTTGACACACATGCCACTGACATTGAACTCTTGACGGATGGAGTTATAATAATAATAGTCTTCTTTATCCAAACAGCATTCATGACCCCGATCCCTGAGAGGTGGGATCTCATGGCATCCCATGATTCCATTATCACCAGATAAAGAACAAATAAATGGCATCTCGTCATCTTCTTCGGGTTGGTAATAAGGTGGCAATGTTATATCGCCTTGTCTGGGAAGAAAGCAAATATAATGTCGTCAAGAATTAACAGCAAGGAAATAATAAACAACTTAACATGTGTAAAACATCCTATCAATTATAATTCAGAAGAAGTGGAATCCAATCTACCAATCTGAAGGTGCTCATAAATACTACAGGCACATACCGTTATGATCTTTCGGCACCAGCATCAACAGTAAAAATTAGGTTTTGTTAGGTCTAGGGCTGCAACAACTTATTGATTTAATCGATGATGATCATTGTCATTCTCATTATCGATTAGTTGATTCTGCGATTAGTTGCTGCTGCTCTACTCCAGTCATTCACCTTCTATATGGGAGCCATTGAATGCAACGGTCCATGTCCCCTTCCTTCCCCACCTGTATCAGCAGAGGCAGCAGACAGGGTAGGGGACACAGACCACTGCAGCCAGTGCCCTGCCAGGGCATACTGTATACATTATGTATATACATTAATACCGTATATAATTGTATTTTTGGTCCGGTTTTTGTGTTATTTTAAATATAAGGTTGGTTATTTTATTATATTGTCTTGGCGTTTTTCAATTCAGATTATTTTAAATCCATGGAACTAATTAAAATGTTTAATATAATACATACAATTATTTCAAAAATAAATAAAGGTAGGAAAAAAGTAATTTTTCATTTTGACCTGACAACTTCTGCTGCAGGATGTGCGTTGTGGTGCCATTCATTTGGCACCCAAAATGCACATCCAGCCCGCTGTGTGATTGCCCACACGGAAACACGCGGTACTGCAATGCCGTGCATTCTATTGGGGTGCGATTACAAAAAATTGTGCATGCTGTTTTATTCTGAAATAAACTTTATGTTTGTAAAACTAAATTTGTGTATTTGAAATAAAAGATGGTATTTAATTTTTTTATCCGATTAGTCAATTAATTGAAAAAATAATCGGCCAACGAATCAAGTATGAAAATAATCGTTAGTTGCAGCCCTAGGACCTATCATGGGTTGGAGGGGAACCCCGCATGTTTGAGATTCGTGATCCCAGTCCCCAGTCCCAGTGAATTTGCCAGGCTGAATTTTCTGTAATTACAATCAACTGCATGGATTTTGAACTTAGGTCAGTTGACTTAGAATGGCCAGTAATGGGAGTTTTATTATGTGCCAGCTACCACTTTATAAAATGATGGATTCCCAGCAGCCATTTGTCAGTATGTGTTCAAGTAATTTAGAGAGTGCTGGCAGTCTGTGTGTATGGAGAGTAAGTTGCTATATAGTGCTATAATGTGCTGTATTGTTCTAAATTACTGTGAATTGCAGTGTGGTGCTCTACATACTGTATTCTTGTATGTCTTGCAGTCATTTTTTATTGGGGTTTCCTATTGTCTTTTAATATACAGGATATATA